GTTCTGCTAGAAAGTCTTGTTCAGAACATGCATCTGTTCCAAGACGAATATAAGAGTCACTGACTTGTCTTTATTCCTATGCGGGTTCAGCTTCCCTATTTATCTTGGGTCATACCAATATCAATCTCTTTTACCGACATGTCCTGCCTAAACTTTTAATCGCAGATATTCTTTGCTATTCCTCTACTGCTCCTCCCAGGAACTGCCAGACTAATAATTTTTTGTGTTGGGTGATTAACGTCTCACCATTGAACATGGCTCAGCTATATTAACTCATGCTCTCTTATTTTGGCATCAGTAGCGAACCTCCAGACTTCCACTAATATAATATTTCTTAATTGTATTCTTTTTTGTCTGTGTACTCATCCATTTATCCTTCTGAGTTTTAAACTATTTTCCTTAATAGATTACTTCCACTGTTCCAATGTTTCTTCTAAATCGCTTACAGTGTTTCCTTCAAGCACTACATTATCAGCTTACATTAACCATTAAACACTGCACAATAAAAAGACAACCAAACAATCGAGCTGAAAAGAAGAATAAACCTCGCTTGGGCTGCATTTGGAAATATGAAGGATATTTTTAAGTCTAAGGTTCCAATGTGTCTGAAAAGTAAAAGTAAACAACAGTGAGTAAACTACAAGTTGCGGAAAGGGCAATGGAGAGAATAATGTTAGGGATTTCTCTACGTGATAGAATACCCAATGCTACTATACTCAAAAGATCAGGAGTAGCAGGCCTTATTAAAAGGAAAACAACACTAAAGTAGAACTGGGTAGGTCATGTAGCAAGATCAGTTGATGACCGGTGGACAAAAAGAATTTTGGAATGGAGACCCCGAATACAAGCTAACATAAATAGAGGTGGACCCCCAACGAGATGGACAGATGACATAAAAAGAGTGACTACAAATTGGATTCAGATGGCGCAAAATCGGACTAAGTGGAAAAGCATGCGAGAGGTCTATGTTCAGCAGTGGACGTTAGAGGCTAGTTGATGATGATGATGACTACACAATAAGTGTCCTCTTCAATTGCAGTTAAATTGTGAGCTTCCAGTGCTTTATGACATCCATGGCTCTTTCCTTGGCTTGCTTTAGGTCTTCTTGGATGCAGGTTTGTTGTAGCTGTTCACACACCAGCAGATGATCATTGGTTTGTACAGCGCCACAATCACATAGATCATTTTCAGTGTTGCCCCACTTTTTTAGATTGTACTTTCAGCAATTTAGGGATTTAATATAGGGATCCCTCTTCCGTTCGTTTGGTGAGGTGTCTCCAGCTGTTGTTTTTGACAAGGAAGCTGCGGCGTGACTTCAGTGGGCCTAGTTGTTCGGGTTGATCATGTAGGGGGTGATCTAAAGATTTAAAAATTTAGGGCGGTGTCCACCTGTGAGGCGTGCGTTGAAAGGTGTTGAGAGTCCCCAAACTGGAGCCGCGTACTTGGATGCTGAAGAACTTAGTGCTGAAGTGCGAGTGGTAGAGATGTGGAGGAGCATCTTTCTTTCTACCTTTCAGTTTCTTCAGGATATTATTTTTTGATGTGACTTTCGTCTAAGTAAGCGGTTATTGGCTCCTTTGGATATAATTCTTGATGTGAGATGGTTTTCTTGATAAGCTTTTCGTTTCGCTGTTTCACTATTTCTTTTTGAAATTTTCTTTTTAAATAAGTTATGCTAAGGAATTAATAATTGTAGGAGAAATCAAAATGAAGATAATTTAAGCAGATAAACAAGACAAAGCAAAACAAGATGGAACCTGGAGAAGTTAAAAGTACAGGAACTAAGAGAACAATACGATACAGCCCTAAAGAAAAATCCAACAGAAGCAAATAACATAGAGTACATATGGAAAAATATAAAAAAATCCATTTTGAATTCAGTTGAAGAGGTGCTAGGACAGAGGGAAATAAAAAGAAGGAATGAGTGGTTTGATGCAGAATGCGAAATCAAAATCAAACAGAAAAACCAAGCAAGAGATAAATGGATATCGACTAAAGAAGAACATCATCGAAACGAATCTAAAGAAAAAAAGAAAGCAGCGGATAATTGTTTCAAGAACAAAAAAAAACTGGATGGAAGAGCTGTTAAAGGACCTAGAAAGAAAAGTAAAGACAGCGCCAAACTATTTGGATACCTAAAAGCTCAACAAAGGAAAGGCAGACCAGTAGTTAAAATTGACCAAAGATCATGGGAAACTTACTTCACAGAACTATATAGATGTAAAGAAAGTCCGGAAGAGAATGTAGGCGCAATGGAAGACATTACAGATAATGAAGTAGGGATACTAACGTATGAAGAATATTTAGATATCATTCAAAAAATGAAACACAAAAGAACACCTGGCCCAGATGAAATTCCCAATGAGCTAATTAAAAACAGAGGGGAAAAGTTATTAACAAGCATCTATAACCTAATAGTTAGAATATGGGAAGCAAAAGAAATGCCCGAGGATTGGAAAGAAGGCAGAATTATACCAATATTTAAGAAAGAAGTAACAAACTGTAACAACTATAGAGCAATATCTCTACTGACCACAACATATAAAATTCTAACAGCCCTCATTAAACAAAAACTCACTCAATTCACAGAGAAAAAAAATGAGAACTACCAGCAAGGATTCAGAGAAGGTAGATACACTACAAATGCGATCCACATAGTTACACAAACAATCTAAAAATGTCACGAACACAACATAGAACTCCACATCTTCTTCATAGACTTCAGATAAGCCTTTGACTGTATTGAAAGAAATAAATTATTTATTGAAATGAAAAATAAAAGTGTACCAGCCAAAATTAATCAGATAAAGTAACAACAGAAGAAGGTAGCACAAAATCAATTGCAATAGAAACGGGAGTGCGACAAGGCGATTCCCTGTCAACCACATTATTCAACATAACAGTAGAAGGAACAGTCAAGGTCATCAAAATTAAAGCAACTATAGCCCACTCCTCAACGCAAATAGTTGCATATGCAGATGATTTAGTTCTTATAGGAAGAGACAAGGAAAGATTTAAAGAACCAGTAATAATCCTGGCAAAAGAAGCACGGAAAAGAGGTCTAGAAATTAACGAAGGAAAAACAAAATATCTACTCTGCTCTAGAAGAGAAGATAACAGGACGAGAGAAATCAAAATAGAAAACTACATTTTTGAAAAAAAATTTAAATATTTGGGAGTAATAGTGAATGGCAAAAACAAGAGAAGTGAAGAAGTAATGGAACGAATACTAGCAGGCAACAAAACATACTGGAGATATCATAGGCTTATGAAGGACAAGAACTTATCCAGAAATATAAAACTGAAAATATACACAGTTGCAATCAGACCACTAGTTACGTACGCAGCTGAGGCGATGTGCCTCATGGAAAAAGATGAAGAGAATTTTCGAAAGGAAAATCCTCAAACGGATCATGGGCCCGATAAGAATGGACAACGTAGAAATTAGAAGAAGAATGAACCATGAACTAAGAGACATAATGAAGGGAGAAGATATAGTTAGATTTATTAAAGCATAGAGGCTGAGATGACTGGGACACATAGAGAGAAGGAAAAACGACCTACTGCTTAAGAAGATCATCAGAAGGAAACCAGCAACTGAAAGACCAAGGGGAAGACCCAGAGGGAGATGGGAGGATCAGATCATGAGAGATATTGGATCCAGAATTCTGGAAGTGAGAAACTGGAAAAGCCCTGATGATGATGAAGGAATTAATTAGTCATTTTAGTATTTTTTAATTTAAAGATGCAATATGTTAATGAACATTTTTTTATTCAGAAATGTTTTGCTGTTCAGTGCATATGTTTCTCATATTGTATCTTATGTAATCTTTCATTGTCCAAATGGGTAGGGGGATGTATGGTTAAGTAATATAGGTCAATTGAGAGTGTTGAGAATCTTTTACGATCATCCACTTTCACTAAATTGAACTAATGAATCACTATTTTTTTATTTTTCTTTCCAAAACTCGTTTCTTCACAAGAAGTAAGAATCTCATAAACAATTAGTAACAGTTATTGCCAATAATGCATTCCAAAGTGCATCTCAAATGCATTAACAAAACAAATAAACTCATGGCAACTACATAGACTATCTATTTTGTTTAGAATTATTGTATTTTGATAGAAGTGTATTAAACAATGCACAAAAAATAATTACATAGTAAAAATAATCAGACAATTTATTTTCATGCATGATTTTGTACAATTGTTAAATACTAACGATTCTGGATGTCAGTGTGTTAATACTAATAAGAAATATTGACCTTTATAATATAAATATGTTTAGTTTTTATATCTTTCAGTTGTAGATGTTATTTTACATCGTTGGGAAAATGTTATTTTGGAATAACATGAAAATTACCCAATCTTATCACCCAATCTCTAAAAACTATAAACTTCTACACTAGAAACCTTGTAGAGTGTATTATAGTATACTACAGTGCAGTATTAGACAGTAATCTTAGATAAAACAGCCTGAAAAAAGTCACTTAACGATTTTCCAAAATTATTTGTATTTAATTGTGAAAGTAAACATTTCTTAATGGCAAGATAAAACCAATAGTCTATAGATGGAACAACAATCTGTAGATAGCAGTCAACAAGTACACTATCACTGAAAGATTTATACAGTAATACTCCGAACTTACGTGATAGGTGGAACCGAGTGAAAATCGTGTAAAAACCGTGTAAGTCGAGTTTGCGTAAGTCGGAGTATAATTTCATATATGTATGTATATAATTTTTTTAATTGGGTCCAGAAAAAATATCTAGAAATTTACACAAACAATGTTAATTAAAATCTTAGGATATACAAATATAAAATCGCCAATCGAAGGCTTTATAAAACAGAAAAAAGTAGTTTGACGACGCAAGATTTTTTTTCTTGTGCAAAATTTTCGCACAGCGTGCTTATAATTTTTTTTATTCCTTGTCAAGTTTTCAACCGTCATTTTTGCTATAACATTCCTATAATACCATCATATCGCATGATTCAACAGGTAGCTGCCCGACAACAACGACTTCTAGCTCAGCAAGGTCAGCACAGTCTAGATAAGACGTCCATGAAGGAATCACCAAAGAACGTTCGACTGAACGGTGTTAGACAACTGTTTACGGATGCCGAAATCGGGGATCCTTCGGTGTCGTCGACTACACAGTTCACGGATCTGACGAAAGGCAAGAAAGAACCACCCCAGCCACCACCTCCGCCTCTGGCTCCTCTAAGTAACAACCTGAAGGGAGGTAGGACGCAGAGGATCGACAATGAAGACAGCGATTCTCTGGGAAACCACTCTCTGGCGTCCAGTTCAGGAATAGGAACTGTAGGTGAGTACTTAGCATTGAGAAATATTGATTAAAACCGAATTTGGTGGAAAATTCTATCAACATTTAATTGGTACGCCGTCTAGTCTTTTCCTTTCCTTGCCCTTAAGGCCCGCCGCAAATTGACCACAGCCCATGCACATCCCACGTGCAGCCCACGTATGGTTCAACCTAGTCCAACTACACGTTTTTCAATAATAACGCATATTAAACACAGCCCACGCCCATGTCAAATATTTGTATTCTTCGCAGTGTTCGCAGTATTTATTCTTAAATGATACCTAAGCGGTACTTTACAAAGTACATGATCTCATAAAAGCTAATAATAAATGAATCCACATCCATTGTGATCCCGACCGCTTGGTTCTGGGAATTTGTCAAGTTAGGAAACTAAAAACCGGAACAACGCATAATTAATATAAGCTTCCGAGTGCACCTCACGTAAAAAACTCGGTATTCTGTTTGTTGTATAATATTTCCTTGTAAAAGGGTTTTATACTCGAGGTTTCGGTTCTAGAATAAGTATTCGATTCCTAGTCATAGACTCATTTTTAAAGATTTAAATTTCAGTTAGTTAAACATATTTTATTTTTTCTTAAGTAAACGAATTGCAAAACATTATGAAATTTAAACAAAATATAATATTTTGAGAGATCTACCGATTTTACTCTACATTCTACCGATTTTTAAAAAGAATTCTACCGATTTTATTTTTTTACGTTTGGGAACTCTTCGTTCAGTACAGAAAATGACATCATAACTAAGGTTAGGTAGAGACCCACGACCCACGAAACTGTGTTGCTAGCACAACTCTATCCACGCCAATCAAGTCTGGCATTAGCCTGGCCGTGGTTTGGGTTTAATATGCGTCGCTCCGTCTAAAACCACGTTTTACAAAATAACCCACGCGTGTGCTGCGCTTGGGATGTGCGTGGGCTGTGCTCAATTTGCGCCAGGCCTAAAAGCCCTTTTTTACAAAACTTTCTGAACCTATCTTACTATTAAACAGTTACCTCAAATAAATAAAAGCTGTTATGTTGAACATGTATTTTTTTAAAATAATGTTACTGTATTGTATGCAAAAGTAAAGGATGGTTTTATATTTTCACGTCAACATCAACAAACATAAAATAACTATATTGGTAGTTTTGTGTGAAAATTAGAAAAGCATGGGATGCATTGTCTGAGATCACACTTTTTGCACATTGTGTGAATTCTGGAATAACATCCTTCTCCAGTACATCTTGTTCGATTCTCCCCATTTATTTCAACAACGAAATAATTTATTACATCATACCTTGTACAGTCCTAAATCCGTTTGCGATATAAGCGCTTTTTAATGTAGAAGATGTGTCACCAGATTTAGCTGGAGTCCTATAGCTTTAAAGAAAATCCTTTAAAAGATGAAGTTTTTTTTACAAAATTTTGTGGAACTATCAGCATATCGTATTTATTAAATAGTCAACTTTAAATAAATAAAAACTGTTACCGTCGGAAATAGAAAAGCACAGAATGCATAGCCCGAAATCACATTTCTTGCACATTATGTGAATACTGGAACAACCTTATTCAGCACATCTTTTCTTCTTTCTATATTGGTTATTAGTACATTTTGTATGAAAAAAAGAAAGGCACAGAATGCATAGTCTGAGATCACACTTATTGTACATTGTGCGAATACTGGAACAACAATCTTCTCCAGCTCATCTTCTCTTCTTCGCATCTCCATTACGTCAACGAGATGATTTATTCCATTATACCTTGTATTATTTGAAAATCGGTTGCGAAATAAACTGCTGTTTGATGTAGTTCTTCCACCAGATCATATAGCTGGAATGATATAGCTTCGAGCAAAATAATGTGGTTTTTCTTGTCCAAATTCCAGTTAATTTACCCCCACTCTTTTTATGTAAATCGCATACATATTGAGAGCTACCATCTATACAATATACCAAATAAAAATTGGCCACCACCACTTACTTTTGATGCTGATTTGATATCGTGTTAAATTCTCATCCATCAAATCAGTATCTTCCATGTTAGAATTATACTGACTAATAGTATTCGGACAAAGAACCAATTTTATGCTGAGCTTGGTTGTGGCGTTTTATACTGAATATTGTATAGTTCCATAGACAGTTGAAGATACAGTTACAGCATACAGTTATCTACCCAGAGATCTAAATTAACAACGCAATTTTTTTCAGTATTCACTTTTGTTTCCTAGCATACAGACGTCTATTACTCCATTATCAATAGTGCTACGGACAGCGTGAATCACAGACACAAAACAAATTAGCTTATCAGTGTAATGACTAACAAGAGTCAAAATTCTGATTAAAAAGAATCATGTCGATTGCAAAATGAAGCTTCAATATATACTGCCGAACTATCAGCTTTATTACTTGCATTAAAATATATAGCCTCTATTGGTATGAATAATTATATCATTCTGAGTGATTGTAGAAGCATTATGGACAAACTCACTTCTATCAAAACCACAAAAAACTTAAACCATATTGAGATAGAAATAAAGAGGTTACATCATGATATTATTTCCTCAGGTAGCTCGATTATTATTTGTTGGGTAAAAGGCCACTCTGGAATATTAGGAAATGAAGAAGTCGACAAATTAGCTAAATCTGCAGCTTTAATCAAACGTAATATAAACAACATACTTCTTCCAGTAGCAGACATAGATCATATCAGTAGAAACAACTGCAAACAAAGATGGCAATGTTTATACAACCAAAGTAAAACTGGAGTAAACTTTAGAGCTTCCTAACCACTAATTCCCAATGAGAGATGGTTCAAATATGAGACAAATAGGTTATTTATAAAAACAATAAACAGAATAAGATCAAACCACGCACTCACTCCTGCATACAAACACAGCATAGGTATCACTGATAACCCATATTGTTCCTGTGGTAAAGTGGGAGATCTGCAGCACCTTATATTGGAGTGTGGACAGTACAGACAAAGTACCAAAATGATGTATGAAAAACTAATTGAGCTAAATTGTCCATTGCCTGTCAATTTGAATACAATTATTTTTTCAAATAATAAGCAGATATTAAAATGTGTCTACGAATACATAACATCCTGTAAATTTAAATTATAAGTTTTAGGTATTCAAATTAAAAATTGTAAATATGTCAAAAATTGAATGTGTAGACGAACATATCCTTTCTGTAAATTTATATAATAAGTAGGCTTAGGTAATAAAATCAAAAATTGTAACTAACACAAATAGTCTGGCTAATTGGCTTTGCCAAAGCCATTGTACAATTAAAAAAAATTGAATAATGGATAAAAATTGAATTCATTACCTGCTTTTGATGGTCCAGGAACTAATTATATAACCAACCAATATAACCAATCATTATTAACAAACAATGGACTTACTATACATGCTGTCCCACCTTGCAACACCCAACAAGTATTATATGAAAACAGTCAGCAAACAATACAACCTGAGTTTATCCATATGTATGTATGTATGTATGTCAATAGCCACACAGTATGCAGCATCAACTAGCAATTCGCAGGATTCGATGAGAGCGAGCAAAATAAATAAAATTCTTGGCAATAAGTCAAAAAACCTTAAAAATGAATGTAACCAATAGACCATCAGAGACAGTAACAAATAACAAATTTAGTTCTCTAAGATAGTAAAATTAAAAGAGACATAAATAACATTCCAGCGAACATACATTAATCAGACCACTAACCAAAAAGGAAGTTCAACAAGAAATTCAATATTTAAACATTAGAAAATCTCCTGGACTGCCCAAAATAACACCCAAGATAATAAAGTAACTACCAGATAAAGGAATAATACGATTTACTCTCATTTTCAATGCCATTCTATGGTCAAAGCTCTTTAAAACGGCTGAAATAATACTAATTCCAAAAGTAGGAAAAAATCCAAATGGAGTTTCATCATATAGGCCAATAAGTCTACTACCAATTACCAATCGCATCCAAAATACTTGAAAGGTTACGGTTACAAAAAATGAACTCAAACCCCAATACGGAACAATGGATACCCAACCACCAATTTGGCTTATAACAAGAAACACTCAACGATACAGCAGGTACACTCCATAAATCCTGCAATGGAAACCAAACAGTACTGCACAGTTGCCTTTTTAGACGTTAGTCAACCTATAACAATGTTTTTCACACGGGCCTGATTGGATGACACCTACCTGAAACTGTTCAAATCCTATATAAGTGGGAGAGAATTCTAAACAAGAGTGAATGAAACTAATTCCAATAATATTCCTATAAAATCTGGTGTCCCACAGGGCAGCGTTCCTGTACTGCTCTATACACGGCAGATCTACCCTCCAATAATGAAACCATCACTGGTAGATATGTTTGCAGATGATGTTGCAATCCTTGCAGTTGACGAAAATTCAACTATAGCATCTAACATTCTACAGCTACAACGGAATGAAATCGAGACATTGTCACACAAGTTGAGAATTAAAACGAATGAAACAAAATCAGTCCAATGACTTTTACCTTGAGAAGAGACCACAGACAGTTATAAAATTTATTTACTTAACCGTACAAATTGATATTTTACTCTAACTCTTCTTCTTAAGGTGCCCTCTGCATTACTGAAGGTTGGCTATAACTACAGCAAATTGCTCTCTATCTTAAGCTGTTCTTAGTATCGAATGTGTGTCCATGCTTGTACAGTCTCTTACATTCTTTAACCAGGAGCATTTTCTTTTTCCTGGACCTCTTCTTCCTTCCACTTTCCCTTCCATTATTATATCCCTTCGTAGGAAGTTGTATTTTTCTTCTCTGTAAATATGTCCTAGATAACTCGTTTTTCTGTTTTTTACAATATTTAGCAGTTCTCTCTCAGTACCCATTCTTCTTAGCACCCCGTTGTTGGTCACGTGCTCTGTCCCAAGAGGTCTTCAGCATCCCTCGGAAAACCCACATCTCAAAGGCTTCTATACGCCTCATACTTGTAATTGCGAGAGTCCAAGTTTCCACTCCGTATAGCAATACGGAATAAATAAACGTTTTTACAAACTGGAATCGGATATCCAACGATATCCGATGAATATATACTTTGTCTCGATGTTCGGAGTGCTCCCAGAACCCAGTAGAATTTTTTCGGCGGCATTAGAACAACTTCAGATCGAATCATTGCGTAGTATGTTCAATCAGGGCCGTAGCAAGGTCTTGACATAACAATACTATGATAGGGATAATATCACATAGTGATAAAGACAAGGAGAGTGGCGATTTATTATATAAAATATTTATTTTCTTTAAAAATAAAAAAGTGTACAGATACTGCCATAACTAAAAAACGAATAATATATCCTTGAATAGATTTATGAGGATAAAAACAATCATATCTTATTTGTTTTAAATAATTGTCGTTATTGATAACGTGATAAAAAATTTACTGCTTTAACAATTTACTTTTTTTGTTTAGGTATAGGAGGTGTCTCTTCAACCGAAGACGGCGACAACTCCTTGACGAGTTTTGAAGGTCTACTTAACGGCGTGCCCAACTTGGACAACCCCGCGAACGACGATAGTAATTCCAAAGATTCTGTAAAAAATGTTGCTAGTGAGATATCTATTAATAAACCCCTTAGGTTAGCTGACCTTTTAGAGAAGAAGTTCGAAAAAAGCCCGCCCCTTCTGAACGGCACTATGGGTAAAGATTTAAGACTGGGAGACAAGGCCATGGACTTGGTGGAGAATCACATCGAAAAAGCTTTAAGTAGGGATAGGGAACCGATCCCTGAGAAGCCTGCGAAGATGGAAATTGAAATAAAAGAAGAACCACTACGGGATATGGTAAATAAAAATTATTTTATTGTTTTAAAGTAATCATTAATTAACAGGGAGGATTATTATCATTTTGTATAATGATTAGTTTAATTATTGAATTCTTTGAATAGTGATTTAACACCACAAGTGTTTATTTCGAATGGTAACTACTCTTTAGAAAATAATAAAAATATAATAATAACTGCTATATATGTTAATTATATTCCACACGTCTCTCTTTATCATTGGTTATATCTTATTTTCTTTTTTATCTCTGCTTCTTTCTCCTGTTTCTTTTAATATAGTATGTTTTTTTCTACTTTAATCTTCTTATGTGTCATAGCTATTTTGGACGTAAGCTGCTTCTCTGCGTGTATTTGTGTTGTGCTATGTACTTTTCTAAGTACACCGATGAAACATACGGTGTAATGTCGATTCTGAAAGGCTAAGTGTAAGGAAATTATACCAGACAAATTACTACTGGTTGGTTTGGTCATTTACTATACCCTCAGCTTCTCAAATACTCTTCACTATTTTGTCTTTATCAAACTTTATCAAGCTTTCGAGTTTCTAGTTGTTTAAAAATGTTTACATTAATTTTGACTATTTTTAATAATGGCATGAGTAGCATTAAATATAACAAATAAAACTTCGTTAGCTTTATCAGGCTGGTCTGAAGAGAAGCGCCTCCGAGGAGATGATGGAAATAGAAGCGAAGCGACCTCTGCTGTTGAGTAACCTAAATGGATCCACTGCCGATTCCCCAGCTCCCGATTCCTCCAGTTCGAACGGTGACGACGGACCGTCAACCGTCTCTACTGCAGCGGCTAAATTATTCGCGGACATAGCTGCGGATATTTTGGAAGACGAGGACGAAGAACAGCTACTCCAGGAAGCGGCCCAGCCGAGTCATCCGCCACAGATAGTCGCCGAACAACAGATGCAGATACAGGGCCATAATCCTCTTCAACAGATCATCGTCGATAATAGTCAGCAGGTTCTATTGGCACAACAGAGGCAAATCATAGTGTCACAAGCACAGTTGCCGACTACTAACCAGATGGTGTTCTCAACAGGTAAGTTACATCAGTTTAAGTCGTTTTCATTTTTAATATAAGGCTCTGAAGAGTTTAGTTGAGACATGTCAAATAAGATTCAAGTTTTTGCATTTAGATACATTCTGATGAAAGCCTGGAGATACTTTTGAAATATTATATGTTAGTTATCCAGAAAGTAAACAACGTTTTGGCATAAAAAATTAAAAATGTATCAACACATAACTTTGTTTACAAAGTCATACTGGTGTTTTCTTGCTTGAATATAATGCACCATTTCCTCACTGAGAATTCATTAATTAAATTCTGCCCATAAACAGCCTTTATTTGCCTATAAATGTGGTTTTTGACCATTCAAAAACCGAATCACACTGTGATTCGGGTGATTCGGTTTTCTCTCCTCCTATTTTTTTCTTTGTGTCCCATATAGAAAAGTTGATGCCCTGATTTAAGAGTTATACAATCTTCTTCTTCTCGTCTTACTTCACAGAGACCCATAATCCAAAAACGTGTTTTTGTCGTGTCAAGCATGCTTGGATTAGATTTTGGTAATAAATTATTATTACCAAAAACATAATATTGTAGCCATATTAGCCTTCTACAGCTGATAATAACAACAAACATTTAAAGGCAATGTGATGTATTGTATATAATCGTTTTGGAGCGGTTTTATAATAATAATGGTTTTAAAATGTGTTTAAAGAGTGAACTCGGCTGTATATATTTTCAGACTTTAAACATTACTTATTACATTACATATTAATCAAACCTACTTTACTTTTAGGAGCCACCCACCTGAAGACACAAACAGGCCAAACGGTAATCGTTCAAAACACGTCCGGCCAACGACCAATGATGTTGGCACAGCAAAATCCCGGTCAGATCCTTCTGTCTCAGGGTCTTCAGGGCCAAATGCAACTAGTTGCTAGCTCCCAGCCAGGTCAATATGTAATCCAGACTAGCGGTGGAAGTGGACAAGGAGCGGCGTATGTGGTCGCTCCATCTCAGAACGCGATGGTACACGGAGGGCAACAGCAAACTGTCCTGCTGGCTCAGACGTCACAGCAGCAAGGTACTGGTGCGAAGACAATTATAATTTTGCAACAGCAACCGCCTTCAGGGTCTGCAACTCAGCATCAGAAAGTTGTGGTGACACCACAAGGACAACAAGTAAGTATTTACTGTGTTATTAATGTTTTTTTATAGTTTAAGCATTTAATTTAATATTATTGAAGATGATGGGCGATGGACGGTTCGGTTATCTCTGTACAGGGAGAATGAAGCAAATGTTTTAATGAAGTATTGTAATAAATCTTGGGCAGTGTATTTGTGTAATATATGTTTTTCTTATGTTTATCATAAAAGTTGTGCTGAACGGGCAAAATGGATACTCATCATGAAACACGGAAATAACTCATTTGCTGTAAAATTTAGGTTATCAAGTTCAAAGTCAAAAGGTGCTTCAACTGATGTAAATGCAGTAACAGACTAAATAATGGACATCATGATAAAGATTCTGCTGGTAAGATCAAGAGAAGCAATCGATCAAGAGTAAATCTAGATGTGGCGGAATCAGATAATAGGAAGGAGCCTTTATTTATTAAAAACAAGCCGTTAATCGTAGAAGTGCTTCTTCAGGATATAAATGTGGATATTTTCTGTATGAGTGACCATTATTGGTGTGAATTAAAAAAAAAAATTAAATTGAAAAAAATTATTTTGAGCGATTATCTATCTAGCTAATTATTATTTTCGTAGTCATATTAGGGATGGGGTTGCTATATTTATTAGTGGTAATAAATATAATGCAATAAATTTATTAGCTGTCTGTCCAAAAAGTATCATGTGTATCTTAATTTGTGTGTAAGTTTTAATATTTGTTTGTTAATTTTGCGTATTCATTAGAATATATTATTAGAATAATACATGTATATCTTTTCAGGTTGTCGTAACTCAAGTTCCTAGGCCCGTAATGCACACCTCCTCAGTGTCAAACAATGTCTCTCCTGTTACCAAAGTGATCAAGACAATGGCGAGTAACAACAGCAGCACGACCACTATTTCGGCGCAACAGACTACCCATTCGTCTCCTAATGTAAATATCATAATGACTGATAAGAAAGAGGATATAAAGAAACACAAAATTGCCAGAGATCTCACGACGCCCTATATTTGCGACTGGAGTGATTGTTATGTGTAAGTAAACAAATAGTTATTAATTATATCTATTATTTTATAAAGTATTGTTCGTCGATAATTACTTTTTTTTCAATAATATAATAAATAAATAATACATAATTGCTTCAATGTTTCTATGCTAATCAATATTTTATGAATAAATATAAGTACAGTGGGAATTGTAATATAAAAAATATACAAATGACAGAATTGCTTCAGTCTTTCTATGCTAATCAATATTTTATGAAAACATATAACTATAGTGGGAATTATAATACGAGTATACTTCATCTAATTTAGATAACGACTTACGTCATTATCTACGTCAGAGATCGAAGTTGACATAGTTGCCAAAGTATAAAAAAATCCTGACTCTATTTTAAATCAAATAGATTACATAATTATTGCAAAAGTATTACCATCTCTTTACAACGACTATTTAAATTCTTACGTGACATTTTTGAAATAAAACACACTAATTTTGTTCTAAAAAGAACAGATTTTATTAAATAGTTAAAAATATAAAACAAGAGATATTCACTTCAAAATTCAAAATAATGAAGTACAAAAAGTGTCAACACCACAACTGTCAAATAAGTGTTACCAATTTATGCCAAAATTTTAGCTTTGTTCGATTACAGTGTGTTTCGAACAAATGTTCTTGATAAAAACGCTTTATAATGCATTTATACAAATTAAATGAAACATATTATTGTGTATTCCTTCAAGTTAACATTAATAGAAATTTTTAAATATTATTTCTACGCGTATATAATAAAATATGTCTAGTGGCTGTAATGCCAGTGTACTCGGTAAAGTGATTCTAAAAAAGAACACACCTACACCCTAAATATTGTGTGTTGGTATCATGTAACGTCACAGGCTATGACGCCGATGACGTGCATCGTTATATAAATTAGATGAAGTGTACATATATACAACTTTAAAAAAAATTGATATAAATATGAAAAGATTATTTGAATATTACTTTAAATCGGTGAAAGCGAGAGATAAAGATTAAGAGAAAGAGAGAAAAGTTAAGAGAAAGAGAGAGGTTAAGAGGGAGAGATAGAGCGAGGTTAAGAAAGAGATACAGAAAGAGAGAAATGAAGAGAACGTAGAGAGCGATTAAGTGATAGAGGGAGAGAGAGAATGAGGAAGGGAGAGAAATTATGAGAGAAAGAGGTTAAGACAGATAGAGAGAGGGGTTCTGAGAGAAAGAGAGAGAGAGGTTATGAAAGAAAGAGGGAGAAGGGAGAAATTAATATAGTGGACGGGTGAGGGATTGAGAAAGAGGGTCAGAAATTGAGAGAGATTTTGAGAGATTAAGAGAAAGGGTAAGAGATTGACAGAAAGGATGAGTGATTGAGAGAGAGGGTGAGAGATTGAGAGGGAGGGTGAGAGATTGAGAGGGAGGGTGAGAGGTTGAGAGGGATGGTGGGAGATTGAGAAAAATGGTGAGAGATTGAGAAATAGTGTGAGAGATTGAGAAAGAGATATTGACAAAGAAATAGTGAGATTAAGCGAGAGTAAAATAAATAAAGAATGAGATAAAGAGGTAAAATGTGAGATAAAGAGATAGAGGGTGATATAAAGAGATAGAGTGTGAGATATAGAGAAAGAATGTGAGATATAGAGATAGAGTGTGAGATAAAGAGATGCAGTGAGAGATAAAGAGATAAGAGTGAGAGATAGAGTAAGAGATATACTGAGACAGAGATAGATACTGAAACAGAGATATTAAGACAGGGAGAGATACTGAGACAGAGAGAGATACTGAGACAGAGAGAGGGAGAGACTGAGGCAGAGGGAGAGACTGAGGCAGAGAGAGAGACTGATACAGAGAGAGAGAGAGAGATCGGGGCAGAGAGAGATAGACTGAGATAAAGATTGGTCAGATCTCTGGGAGCAAGTTTCATTGGGTCCTAAAATATACTATACTACTAATAAACTATACTACTAATAAACTATACTACATTGCCGTTATTGCCGTAATATATTGATTAACCTTTTGAAAGTTCAGTTTGTTTCATTAATTATTCATTATTACAGTTATTTCATATGATTCTATTACCTTTCATTTTAAGACTTATTCCTTACTTTACTTACAGAGAAAAGAGGTTCAGGTCTGCTAACGAAGTGTACCTACACGCTTGCGAGGCGCATTGTCCTTTGGGAAGTGAAGAAATCATTTGTCAGTGGGATAGATGCGACAATATGAAACGGAAACGGTTCTCCCTCATGACTCATCTCCATGACAAACACTGTAATACTGAGGTAAGTATAACAATTGGATTTAGATAATTATCTAATATAAATTCGTCCTTCCATTTGACTTACATTTGCTTTCACCTTATATATTACAAACAATTTACAGGTGAAAATCTGATCAATGGACAAATTATTCCTATTATAAGAAGACAACACATTGATTAAGAGTTTATCCTTTAATAAAAGAATACCTTTTCGATATTGTTCATTATATATTCAAAATACAATATTATAAAATTCATAAACATTCAAAGTTAAATTTCATTTATCTATTTTAAAAGTATTTTAAAATTTCTAAAATTCATACAAAATGAACTAAAATTCGAAACTTACTCTTTGAAATCGAAAAATTATGTGATACCAGTGGTGTTTACTGTGAAACAGTGACTGACTCAGAAAATCAATTTAATTAAATTAATTCCAATACATCTTATATCAGATCTTAAACCCAACAATAAAACTATAAAATATATGGGATTTTTGGAATAGATATTTAACACAGAAAGTGCTTCCCTAGTTCCCATAGCATTTCTAAAACCAAATTGGGGTTCTTCGAGATCTTCTTCACATTCGTGCCCAATCCTATTGTAAAGTATTCTTAGGAAAAGTGTGTGGCTCATTAAACTAATTAATTTACATTCTGAACATTTACTAGCATTGTGTTTTTTAAACATTGCAACAAAGATAGACTTGAGCTAGCCTGTGGGAATCACTCCGGTGTTATATATTGCAACAAAAAAATTTACTACTTTGAAGTTATCTTCGTCTATTAGCTTTAACAACTCCATTATCTGGTTATCATATCTCGTTTTGGGTATATCTATTAAAGGTCTTCGTAATTCGACTATATTATCATCATTTTTCTTGTAGGCAATGAAGCAAAGTTTGTTAAAACGAAAGCAGGCAGCTCATAGCAAACAAGTGGAGACAACGCCACCAGCATCGACTAGTCCACATCCAGGTTACGCCCCTGATGCAGCTTTACATGCGATCAAAAGACACGCTTTGGAATTTGTGAATCCTAAGGAGTTACAAGTAAGTTTGATATTTACCCATTTATTTCATTTATAATTTTGTGAAGAATGAACTAACAGGCAAAATAGCCTGAAAATGCTTTATATATTTGTACACTTTATTGTATATACATACAAAATAACTATGCTTATTTTTTGGAACTATCTATGGAATCTTGTTTGTTATTGAATGGAAATTCATGTTAATTACAGATATGAATATAAACAAACTGTTTTTAATTTTCACTGTAGTAGCAAATAATAAGTGAAATGAGTCATGAGCGTGATCAGTTAGGTTTTTCGTATCGTTTAGTTATCGTCATGAATGTTACTACGAAGCCTGTCAGTAGTGGAGAAAGGATGCATATATGGTCAGTATATATTTAGTTTCCTCGGAGTTTTAAGTACATTGTCTGTTAGGTTAGAAGTATACAGGTGCCTTTGTATTTAACGATATATTGCTTTTGTTTAATTCAATAAAAATGGATGAAGCTAGTACTAGCAGGGAGTCTCCCCGCTGTCTTTTTGAATCCATCCATGGTGGATTCATCGGTGTGCCTTCTGTGCAGGTGGGCGTGGGCTCTAAAGCGAGTTGGGCGCCATGTCGTCTCGGGGTGGAAAATAAGGGTATATTGTTATCTTGTCTTGAAAAAGACAAGATGTTTCTTATATTACAACAACTAAGGTTGAAATAAATCTTTAGTTTGCAGTTGAAAGAAAACTCAGCCACAGAGTCTAAAACAAGAAGCAGAGTCCCTAGAGCGCTGTGCTGTAGGAGAGACTGTGTCGTACTGACCTGGTTGACCTGAAAATAACCTATATTTATAGGTGCTGTAATATTTATCTGTGCGACAAATAGGGATTTCCAGGTTAACAGCCAATAGGAAAATTCGAGGGGGGCGATGCGCTCAATGACATTTAGACGAAACTTCGTTTTAATGCTGGACATACTGTAGACTGACACTACTGAAACAATTGTATTACACTGTTATTGTTGCTGTTCCATGCCATGCAATTTAAACCTGGACTTTGTATTCCAGTTCTTCATTTATCGAAATTTTTAGTTTTTTATTGACACTTATAAAATGAAATGCTGCTTTAATCTACTGATTCAGCTGTTGATTCATCTGTTGTGTCTGTATTTAGCTGTGAAAAGGCATTTCAATTTAATGTCAAGACATTGGTTAATTCAGCTATTAACTGGACCAACTCGGTTATTTGACACTCAAAAGAATTACATTTTTCTCTTCTAATCTTGATAATACATATAATAAATTTCATGAAAGATTGTATTTTTTACAATATGATTCATGTAATGCCTGACTCGATGTATAATTTCTTCCAAATAACACGTTTTGGCATGTTTTTAGAAGACATTATGTACATACACACCAAACAAGCGTCTGCGGTTGCTAGTACACTTTCTGTTGATACACTCAATAATTTAATATTCTTCTGAAATAAAAAGAATATACTAATTTGAGTATTTTATATCTTTGGGTATATAGTTGACACATTATTAATGTGAATGAAACATTTTTTTATGAACTAGATCTAATGTAATTCATATTTTTATTATTATAAGCAAACATATAATATTCTATTCTTACGATGTAAAGTAACTATCAAGGATACATATTTTATTACGCGCCCACCATGATCAAATTTAAAATTTCCGAAAATTCATGATGGTCATGTGGTTTCGACTACATTTCACCACTTACGACGCTTGATTTTAGATGACTAATTTCACTTATTATTTGCCAGACTATAAATCAGCTTGACATTAATTCACCTTCACAATATTTGTCAGCTTGACATTCACCAAACATGTAACTTCCTCAGAATCATATTTTTAAACTGAAATATTTTGTACCTGTAACAGTTGTACTAAAAATAATACTGTTCGGGTACATATATTTATTATCGTAAAATTTCTAAGGCCTGTTTGGTCATTTTTAAATTTATGTATATAATGTTTAGCCCAACACATGTCACGGTGCCAAATAAATGCACTGCTAATTAAAAACATTCAGTGTCAACAAAATCATGAGCCTAAAATTATAATCACACAAGAATCTATTGCAGTACTTTACCACCCTCTTATGTTTTTGTGTATCTCGTACAGTTCTCGATCTTTGTTAGTTTTAGATCAGATTATGAGGAGATTGGCTAAAAGTTTTTGTTCTTCCATTTTTTCTCTATCTGACTGTACATTTAGTACTGTTTTGTCACTCCTCTGTGTGGAGTAAGTGTAGTCCTCATCTAGTAACAATTTAATAAAAAATCAAATAAATTTGTCATTAGACGAAAAACAAACAGTTAAACAAATGGATGATTCGTTAATAAGTAGAGGTCTAATAAAACAAGTTGATATAATAAAAACTGCCATCGCGTGCGTTAGTAGTGGACTAATGCGCACTCCGATTCGCATCGCTCGCCTCAAAAGATCTACAATTTTTTACAAAAGTACACACTTCTCCTGCACAGAGGACACTTCGAATGGACTGTTCGAAGTCCCTCTGTAAGGCACCGTGAGAATGGATAAGTGGCCATAGGCATTTTCCAGGCCCTTCCTTCCCAGTTGGTGATAAAACCAATGCGCCAATATCGTCGATACAAAATGTTGAAAGCAGAAAAGTATTGACAGGAAAAAAAAACGTAGTAATTCCGGTCTTACAGTTTGGACAGTGCTCAAAAAGATAAAAAAAAATAATATATTTCTACATTGAAAATATTATTCCTACGTTAGATAAACCTAAGTTGAAATTGAACGAAGATGAAAATAAATTTATTCGTGCTACCTTCCATAGCCAAATTTTTTACGAGTAATTTACAGAAACGCCAAAACCAAATCGATAAACCAGTTCTAAAGTGTAACAAGTCAGAAATCATTAATTACGAGAAATCGGGGAAAATCTATTTTCCAATATTTTTGTGTCAGATAATTTTATTATTTTGTTAATATAATAACAATTGACATATGTTATTAATGTTATTAAAAAAGAAATATATAATAAATAAGGTATTTGTCTAGTTGTTAAATTTTTGGAAATAATGATTTTTCATATTTCATTGAAAGTTCAAATTAGGTATTATTTTGTTCGAATAAAACAAAAAAAACGTATGGTTCTATATTTATTAAATATACTACAAAACCTTTATTTATTAATCTGATATGTTTTCTTCGTCTACCGCTGTGGGGGCTGCAGGAAGACAGTGATAAAAATCCCAATATGCTCTTAGGATTGATCCAAAATTGCACAAGGAAATCGGGTCTTTTTCTTTAAAAATGAAATACCTGGTGTATAGCTATAAGCAGGGTTTAGCTTAATGTTTACTCGCTGTCCTCTTGTTCTCTGATCAACATTTATGCTTTTGAATTATTTCTCAAAAAATGATTTTTTATAAACAAAAAATGTAGGGAGCTGATTTTTTTACTTGAAGAATATGCACTCACAATATCACTCCATTTAACTGTTTCACCGCTGTTATTTTTGGTACAGTTATCTAAGTTTTTAACCAAAGCTTTAATATCCATAAAATTTCAAAATTTGTTAGTAATATAAGGTTTTCAATTTTTCTTTGCCAAATTTATTATAGGTGTTAGTTGTGAAGGCACATACAGTGGTCCTTCTTTCAGATTAGTACAATGTAGGAGTAAAGAGTCCATATACACTTATTTTTATTTTGCCCAGGCAATTATCTGAGTAAAATATGACATGTTTTACAGTAACATGATCCCTCAAATAGCAAACAACTGCCTATTTCGTTAACATCTCTACGAGGTACCCCTTCGTGCTATAAATAGCAATATTCTTGTTTATTATTTATATCGTAAATTGTGAAATTATATCAGGCAAGCCTTCTTTTATAAAAAAAATTACTTCTGTCTCCGTTTGGAACAACTTGAACTGCTTGCAAGTCAAAACAACATACTACAGTTGACGAAGAAGACATTTTAAAATCATTTTGTTTTTCTAATCGACTTTGGTTCTTTTCATTAATGTGAGTATCAAAGCTTTCCTGGTTTTTCAGGTTCTCTTCATTGGATAGATTTTTAAAATATTCACAAATACAGCATACATCTTTTTTTGGCTAAAAAAACGAAATATTATACCCAGCATTGAAAATATTTTATTATAAATGCTTTTTAATGTACTGACAATTATTTTCTGTTTACTGCTTCAAATAAAATCGATACATTTCAGATACGTAAATATGCTCGTTATGTGCGTACTCGGCAGTAATAAGATTCTATTACAGAGAAAGGATCTATGTACCTTCTTTCTTTCATCATCTATCCTTGGACCTCCAGCCTTTTCATTACCACCTCTTTTCTTTAAAGCTGTATATATAAGTCTGTTGTTTATGTATCAGGCCTGATAGGTTAAAGATTTTAACTAAGAAGCCTTGTTGTCTGTTGATGTCTGATAAAGACAAATAACTTGTGTGAATCTGTTGCCTCTCTTTGTCAATTATTTTTGCCGTGCATTTCAGTCTGCATTTCTCAGTGCAATATACTTTCACTATGCGCGCTGGAATCTCTTTTCCATCAGAATTTGTGAAAGCTTGCCCGGAATTGCGCATATATTTTTTATAGTTTTAGTCCACTTCGAAGGCTGGCAAAGTCGCTTTTTAGACCTTTTTGAAGTACTGCTACTACTACTATAAGGTGTTGGTTCATTATTTACGCCAGGAGGTGCTGTCGTAACCTTGATTAACTCGTAGAATCCTTCATTTTGGCAGGCTAACTGTAAAATACACTCGGATCTTGTTAAAAAATCACGATTTTGGTCCATTTTAGTCAAAATGTTCAAAATACTCAAAATTATGCAAATAACTCTTGAAAACTGTTTGTCGAATGTGTAAAATTATAAGCGACCTACGGAACTGTAATTGGCTACGTCAAGCTCGAAAAGTCAACCAAGTCTAAGCAATGTTGCCAATTTTGAAGTGTAAAATTTAAAAATGTTACGGTTTGGAACTGAAGAAATATATCGCTTAGGAAAAGGAATCAGT